TCTCTCACACTCTCACACTCTCTCTCACACTCTCACACTCACTCTCACTCTCTCACACATTCTCACACACACTCTCACACTCTCTCTCACACTCTCACTCTCACACTCACTCTCACTCTCTCACACACACTCTCTCACACTCACTCTCACACTCACTCTCACTCTCACTCTCTCACACATTCTCACACACACTCTCTCACACTCTCACTCTCTCTCACACTTTCTCTCACTCTCTCACACACTCTCTCACACTCGCTCTCACACTCACTCTCACTCACTCACACATTCTCACACACACTCTCACACTCTCTCTCTCACACTCTCTCTCACTCTCTCACCCTCTCGCTCTCACACTCACTCACACATTCTCACACACATTCTCTCTCACATTCTCTCACTCACATCTCTCACTCACATACTCTCACCCACACACATTCTCACCCACACACACTCTCACACACACTCACATACTCACACACACTCTCACACTCTCTCACACTCTTTCTCACACTCTCACACACTCACACACACTCTCACACTTTCTCACTCTCACACACACACTCTCTCACTCTCACACACACTCTCACACACTCACACACACTCACACTCTCATACACCCTCACTCTCACACTACACACACTCTCACACACTCTCTCTCACTCTCTCACACACACTCTCACATTCTCTCTCACTCTCTCTCTCTCTCACACATCCTCTCACACTCTCGCTCTCTCACACACTCTCTCAGACGCTCTCTCCTCTCTCTCCCCAGTTGAGGAAGGCTCCCCATCGGAGGCTCTGACAGGAAGAACTCACCCCCCATTGGTACCGGACGAAAATCTAGGGCGGTCATCGACTCCTTCCCCCCCAAAACGGCCCAGTACCCCCCGACTTGTGGCTATACTGGTCATAGCATTGGCGGGATCTAGTGCAGTGATAATCATAGGAGTCATCAGGTTAGAGAGCGAGAGATAGAGAGAGAGAGAGAGAGAGAGCGTGAGGTAGAGTGTGTGTGTGTGTGTCAGAGAGAGAGAGCGTGAGAGAAAAAGTGAGTACGAGAGAGTGAGAGACGGAGTGCGTGTGAGAGGGGGAGAGTGTGTGTGTGTGTCAGAGGGAGAGTGTGAGAGAGCGCGAATGAGAATGGCGGAGAGTGTGAGTGAAAGAGGACCGAGAGAACAAATATGAGAGAGTGTGTGAGAGATAGTGGGCGAGAAGGAGAGAGAGTGTCTGAGAGAGAGAGTGAGAGTGAGAGAGAGTGTATAGGTCAATGTCTCACTCTCCCCCTCACTCTCTCTCTCCCTCTCTCTCTTCCCTTATCTCCTCCCAATCCCAGTTATAGGCAAAGTGCGAGGTCTCAGAAAAAGGAAATGAAGGCGGCAGAACTTCGAGATATGATGGAGCTCACCAGCTGATATCTGCCCCCCCCCTCTAACCCCATCCCCCCTCTCTCTAACCCCATCCCCCCTCTCTCTAACCCCACCCCCCTCTCCCCATCCCCCCCTCTAACCCCATCCCCCCTCTCTCTAACCCCATCCCCCCTCTCTCTAACCCCATTCCCCCTCTCTAACCCCATCCCCCCTCTCTCTAACCCATCCCCCCTCTCTCTAACCCCATTCCCCCCCTCTCTCTCTAACCCCATTCCCCCCTCTCTCGCTCTAACCCCATTCCACCCTCTCTCTCTCTCTAACCCCATTCCCCCCTCTCTCTCTCTAACCCCATTCCCCCCTCTCTCTCTCTCTAACCCCATTCCCCTCTCTCTCTAACCCCATTCCCCTCTCTCTAACCCCATCCCCCTCCTCTCTCTAACCCCATTCCCCCCTCTCTTTAACCCCATTTCCTCCTCTCTCTCTCTCCATCCTCTCTCTCTAACCCCATCCACCCCTCTCTCTCTAACCCCATCCCCCCCTCTCTCTAACCCCATTCCCCCCTCTCTCTCTAACCCCATCCCCCCCTCTCTCTTTAACCCCATTCCCCTCTCTCGCTCCAACCCCATTCCACCCTCTCTCTCTCTAACCGCATTCCCCCCTCTCTCTCTTTAACCCCATTCCCCTCTCTCTCTCCAACCCCATTCCCCCCTTCCTCTCTAAGCCCATTCCCCCCCTCTCTCTCTTTAACCCCATTCCCCCTCTCGCTCTAACCCCATTCCACCCTCTCTCTCTCTCTAACCGCATTCCCCCTTCTCTCTCTAACCCCATTCCCCTCTCTCGCTCTCTAACCTCATTCCCCCCTTCCTCTCTAAGCCCATTCCCCTCTCTCTCTCTAACCCCATTCCCCTCTCTCTCCCTCTCTAAGCCCATTCTCCTCTCTCTCTAACCCCATTCCCCCCCTCTCTCTCTCTAACCCCATTCCCCTCTCTCTTGCTTTCTAACCCCATTCCCCCTCTCTCTCTCTTTCTCTAACCACATTTCCTCCCCTCTCTCTCTCTCTTTCTAATCCCATCCCCCCCTCTCTCTCTCTCTTTCTCACTCTCTTGCTAACCCCATTCCCTTCTCTCGCTCTCTCTCTCTACCCGTTGTGTCTGTGCTGGGAACGCTCCCCCCACTGAAGCTCTCTTCTCTTACCCCATTCCCCAGAACTGTTTTTGCCTTCGTTCAACCAGTCAACTCTAATCTTTAATTTAAAATTCTAATTATGTGTTAAATTATTGTCAAATATATTTTTTATTCAGTTTATTCGGTCTCTTTACTGTGTCTCTAACCCTGACCTGGGAGTGTGGACGGACGCACAGTGTAGTGACTGGGAGTGTGTTACTGTGTCTCTAACCCTGACCTGGGAGTGTTGAATCGGGAATTCTCTCCCCCAAAAGGCTGTGGATTCTGGTTTGCTGTGAGGTGAGGGCTGAAAGGTGCTGATACACATCCAGGAATCCATCCCCTGCTGCTGCTTTTGGTCACCGTTTCAAATGAAGCTGTGATCAGCTTCTGCGTCATCATTTCCAGGTAACCTAATGTTTGACCAGGACCTGAGGAGATAGAGCATCAGAGTGGAGTCCCTGTAGCTCAGGGGTTAGACCCCTCGCCTCGCACCCCACAGCCCCTGTAGCTCAGGGGTTAGACCCCTCGCCCCCCACCCCACAGCCCCTGTAGTTCAGGGGTTAGACCCCTCGCCCCCACCCCACAGCCCCTGTAGCTCAGGGGTTAGACCCTCGCCCCCCACCCCACAGCCCCTGTAGCTCAGGGGTTAGACCCCTCGCCTCGCACCCCACAGCCCCTGTAGCTCAGGGGTTAGACCCCTCGCTTCGCACCCCACAGCCCCTGTAGCTCGGGGGTTAGACCCCTAGCCTCGCAAGCCAGAGGACCCGGGTCAGGTTGGAGCAAAACCTTAGGCAAGTTTCACTCAATCCAGCAATTGGCTGCTGCGTTTGGGGATTACAGTGAATTCTGTGAATCGTTTTGGGACGACTCAATGTGTGATGAGGCACTGTATCAAATGAAAGAATTATTGACAGCAACGACAACAGCAACTGTGTCCGCCTTTACACAGCGTCTTTCACGTCGGGAGAATGTCCCCCGGGCAGGGATTTGGACCCGAGCCGGGGGTTGGGATCAGGAGGAGGGGTGGAGGGCGGGGGTGGGAGAAACAGGGCGAGGTCGAAGAGGAAGGTCCATGACGGGGTCAAGACTGGGAAGAGAGTGACAGGTCTCACTTTTGGTGTGTGTTGGTCTCTGAGTGGACCTGGTGTAGTCATCATGACAGGTTGTGTTGGTGACGTCGAGGATTTCGAGCAGGAGCTGCAGGGTTTTGTTGCATGTGGACTTGATCTCAGGAAGCTGCAGGCTATCTCTTGCCCTCGCTCTCCCCCAAAACACGGCAACACAGAGTCTTGTTGCCTTTCTCCTGGTAATCGCACACCTGCGGCATAATAATGAACAATAATTAACAATAATTAATAATAATTAATCATAACAGCAATGATAACACTCATAATAATACATAATAATATTACTACTAACTAACAATAATAATCCTTGCACTTGATACAGCACCTTATCAAGTCTTCGAGAAGTCTCAAAGCGCTTCACAGACTATACTGTAAAGTGTAGTGACTGTATATTTTACGGGCGAAAAGTGGGAGTCAATTGTCCCATAATCAGTCGTGGATTGAGTGACCAAATGTCCTTTTTAAATTTTTTTTTGAAGGGTTTATTACCCCCGGAAAAGCGATCTGCCAATCGACGAACAACTTCTACTTACAAGAAGTCCTACTTACAGAGGAACAAGGAAACTTACCTGAGGTTACAGTACAATTCAGATGGATAGAAAGAGAGAGACACACACACAGTGGCAAGAGAAAGAGAAAGAAGGAAAGAGGAAGAGAGAGAGGAGGAGGGAGGCGAAGAGAGAGAGAGAGTGAGATGGGGGGGAGAGAGAGAGGGGGAGGAGAGGTGAGGACGAGAGAAAGCGAGGAGAGAGGGGAAGAGAGAGAGGAGATACTGGGAGAGGACTCAGAGGAGAGGATGAGAACAAACGGGAGAGGAGAGAGAGAGAGAGAGAGACAAAAAGAGGAGAGAGAGAGACAAAAAGAGGAGAGACAGAGAGAGAGACAAAAAGAGGAGAGAGAGAGAGAGAGAAAGGGATAGAGGGGCAGTGAGAGAAATAGAGAGAGGGGGACGAGGAGAGGGGAATAAGAACATAGCAATTGCTCGGCAAAGAAAAAGACCGAGGTCCACCTAACTTGCCTCCCACATTCCCGTCGGTCGCTGGCTCACATGTCCCAAACTCCCCGCACTCTACATCCCATCATGTTATTTCCTGAAAGAAAAGGATCTAATCTGATAAAAAGAGGAATAGGAGGGAAGAGGGGGAGAGAGAGAGAGAGAGAGAGAGAGAGTGTGTGTGTGGGGGGAGTGTTGGGGGTTGGGGAGAGAGAGAAGGAAGGGGTTGGAATGTGACTGACTGCACAATGAAGGCGTTGAGGTCACAGAGAGAGTGCGTACGTTTAAACTTCACACTCAAACCGCCTTCCCTTGACCGGGAAGGGTTACAGGAACTCGCTGGTGATGGCTGCCCACGTCCCCAAAGCCCCTGGTTACCTCCAGATGCTGACCAGCGGCAGCCGTTACTACAGCGGGCAGGAGGAGGTGGTCTACAGGAATATTGAGGCTTGCAAGGAGCTCTCTCGCTCGCTCAAGGCCATCTACGGTCCCAGCGGCCTGAACAAGCTGGTGATCAACCACCTGGAGAAGATCCTGGTCACAGCCGATACGGCCACCGTCCTCCAAGAGTTCCAGATCGAACACCCTGCAGCCAGCATGCTCCTCCAGGCCGTCAAGATGCAGGAGGAAGAGGTTGGGGACGGGAGGAACTTTGTCCTGATCCTGGCCGGGTCGTTGCTAGAGAACGCTGGTGGCCTCCTCCGCATGGGCCTCTCTGTGCCTGAGGTGGTGAAGGGTTACAGGAAGGGCTGCAAGAAAGCCCTGGATGTCCTGGAGAACCTGACCTGCTCCTCGCTCAAGGACATCAGAGACCTTCAGGAGGTGGCTTCCGTGCTCCGCACGCCCATTGGCAGCAACTGCACGGCTACCAGGACCTCCTCTCCAGGCTGGTGGCCCAGAGCTGTGTGTCTGTCATGAGCCAGTCCGCAGGGAGTTTCCACACCGACCAAGTCAGAGTGTGCAAGATCCTGGGGGCCGGCATTCAGGACTCGTTGGTTCTGGAAGGGATGGCCTTCAAGAGGGAAACCGAGGGGTTGGTCAATGCAGTTCAAGACGCCAGGATTGTCATCTATCAATGCCCCTTTGACCTGGCCCAACCGGAGACAAAGGGCACGGTTCTGCTGAAGAACGCCAGGGAGATGTTGAGCTACAGTCAGGGGGAGGAGATGTTGATGGAGACCCAGGTGAGGGAGCTGGCTGGCTCAGGGGTCAATGTTGTGGTGGTCGGGGGCAAGATAGGAGACATGGCTCTGCACTACGCTGATAAGTACCGTCTGATGGTGATGAGGCTCCAGTCCAGGCACGATCTCCGGCGGTTGGGCAAGGCGGTTGGCACTGCTCCGCTCATGAAACTGGCCACGCCTTTGCCCGGCGAGACAGGTCACTGCAAGCGCGTGTACACCCAGGAGATGGGCGACACGCAGGTGGTCGTGTTCGAACAGGAACGTGGCCTGTCTGCCGTGGCCACCATTGTTCTCCGTGGCTCCACCGAACGGCTCCAGGACAATGTTGAGCAGGCCGTGGCCGACGGGTTGAGTGCCTACCGGGCTCTGAGCCAGGACGGCAGGCTCCTGCCGGGCGCCGGGGCCACGGAGATGGAGTTGGCTGTCAAGATAGCCGACCACGGCTCCACCTGCCCCGGTCTGGACCAATACGCAATCAAGGCATACGCCAAAGCATTTGAGTCGCTCGTCGAGGCTTTGGTACAGAACAGCGGAGAGCGGGAGGGCCACATATTGGCCAGACTGTGTGCCATTCACCAGGAAGGGGGCAGAAATGTGGGCTTCGACCTGGATGGGAGAGAGGTGGAGGGGGGAGGTGGAGTATTGGACGCAGCTGAAGCAGGCATCTTCGACCCCTACCTGGTCAAGTTCTGGGGCATCAAGTTGGCTACCAACGCAGCGGTCACCATCCTCAGTGTGGACCAGATTATCATGGCCAAGAAGTCGGGTGGTCCCAAGCCACGAGGGGATAACCCAAACTGGGATGAGCCACCAGATCACATCGACTGATCAGGACCACCTCACCCAATCCAACCCACCCAACCTCAGCCCCAAACCAACTCAACTCAATCCCAAACCAACTCAACTCAACCCCAAACCAACTCAACCCCAAACCAACTCAACTCAACTCTAAACCAACTCAACTCAACCCCAAACCAACTCAACTCAACCCCAAACCAACTCAACTCAACCCCAAACCAACTCAACTCAACCCCAAACCAACTCAACTCAACCCAACTGTCCAACTCCATCCGTTTCTCTATTATAGAATAAATCAGTTTTAACACTTACCTGGAGTCTGTCCAACCTTATTGGTGTCTTGGTCTCTCTGTTCCTTCTCCCCCTTTAAGATTGTACCATCAGCTTATATTCCCTCTCCTCATTCTTCCTCCCAAATGCACCACTTTGTATTTCTCCACATTAAACTCCATCTGCCACCTGTCTGCCCATTTGCCCATTTTCCCAGTCTGTCTATGTCCATTTGCAGTCTGTTACTATCCTCCTCACTGTTTACTGCTTTTCCAGCTTAGAATCATCTGCAAACTTGTAGAGATTTTTTAAACAAACAAAAATAAAAGTGAGGTGTTTGGCCGGGTGTCTGACACACGCGGAAACCCATCACCGTTGCTTAAGAGCCTCCAAAACAACAATTTTGTGCATCCCACCTACACGTGGGAGATCCAGAGACCTCACTTACCTCCCCCCGAAGGGCAATTAAGCCCATCTTCCTCTCTCAGTATCTGTCCATCTGTCAGGGTCACAACATAGATTATGTTGTACAATCTTGAGGTAATGACAGTTCACCACAAGGGTATAATATAATTGTAATTAACCCTAAGTGTGAGGATTGAGTGTGAGGATTGAGGGTGTGAGGATTGAGTGTGTGAGGATTGAGTGTGAGGATTGAGTGTGAGGATTGAGTGGGTGAGGATTGAGGGTGAGGATTGAGTGTGAGGATTGAGTGTGAGGATTGAGGGTGTGAGGATTGAGTGTGTGAGGATTGAGTGTGAGGATTGAGTGTGAGGATTGAGTGGGTGAGGATTGAGGGTGTGAGGATTGAGTGTGTGAGGATTGAGTGTGAGGATTGAGTGTGTAAGGACTGACACACTCAAACACGGCGGCCAATGGCCAAAACACAGCAAAGAGCCGCGACATGAACCTGAGGGAAGGAACACGGTCGTATCGTGGGGGGATTTGTGGACCAGGACATGGGAAGAGATGGAGAGAAATTCCCTTCTCTTTTCCCGGAGAGTGTCCGGGAGACCTCAGGGGCCGACGTGTGGGATCGGGAGTCGGTCTGGGAATGACGGCAGCTCCACTGGTGGGGGTCCAGTCCCTGTGTTTGTGAGAGTGACTGTCACAGTGGATTGTAAACCGCTTCACGTTTCTCTCCAGACCCCGAGGTCTCATTGTGCTGCGAGAAGCCGTGTTGTTGAGCGTCGTGGCACTGGGTAAGACCGCACACGCAAACACACGCACACGCAAACACACGCACACGCAAACACACGCACACGCAAACACATGCACACAAAAAAACACACGCACACGCAAACACACGCACATGCAAACACACCCCCACAAAAAAAAACACGCACACGCAAACACACGCACACGCAAACACACGCACACGCAAACACACGCAGTCACAAACACATACAGACACAAACACACGCAGTCACAAACGCATACAGACACAAACACACGCAGTCACATACACATACAGACACAAACACACGCACACACAAACACACGCACACGCAAACACACGCACACACAAACACACGCACACGCAAACACATGCACACGCAAACACACCCACACACAAACGCACGCACACATAAACACATGCACACGCAAACACACGCACACGCAAACACACGCAGTCACAAACACAGACACAAACACACGCAGTCACAAACGCATATAGACACAAACACACGCAGTCACATACACATAGAGACACAAACACACGCACACGCAAACACACGCACACGCAAACATACGCACACGCAAACACACGCACACGCAAACACACCCACACACAAACACAAACGCACCCACACATAAACACACGCACACGCAAACACACGCACACGCAAACACACGCACACGCAAACACACGCACACGCAAACACATAGAGACACAAACACACGCAGTCACAAACATATCGACACAAACACACAGTCACATACACATACAGACACAAACACACGCAGTCACATACACATACAGACACAAACACACACTCACACACACACACACACACAGAGGGTGGGCGGGTTCTAGTGGGTGTGGACTTGATCTGCTGCTGTGTGTGGAGACTGGTGGGAGGGGCCTAATGGTTGTGGGTGGGGTGTGTGGGCGGAGCCTTGCGAGGTGGGCGGGGTCTGGCAGCGTGGGCGGGGCCTGGCCGTGTGGGCGGGGCCTGGCCGTGTGGGCGGGGTCTAGCAATGTGGGCGGGGACTGGCCGTGTGGGCGGGGTCTGGCCGTGTGGGCGGGGCCCGGGCGTGTGGGCGGGGCCTGGCCGTGTGGGCGGGGTCCGGCCGTGTGGGCGGGTCTCACGGTGGTGTTGGTGACAGACGGAGACAGTGGGAAAGGCGGTGTTCGGAGTTGGGAGGAACATGTCAGACCATTCCCAGGATTGCAGCGGCTCAGGGCCGGCAATCGCCAGTGTGTATCCCGGGGCAGTGTATATCCCGGGGCAGTGTATCCCGGGGCAGTGTATCCCGGGGCAGTGTGTACCCGGGGCAGTGTATATCCCGGGGCAGTGTATCCCGGGGCAGTGTATATCCCGGGGCAGTGTATATCCCGGGGCAGTGTATCCCGGGGCAGTGTATCCCGGGGCAGTGTATATCCCGGGGCAGTGTATATCCCGGGGCAGTGTGTATCCCGGGGCAGTGTGTATCCCGGGGCAGTGTATATCCCCGGGCAGTGTATATCCCGGGGCAGTGTGTATCCCGGGGCTGTATATCCCGGGGCAGTGTGTATCCCGGGGCAGTGTGTATCCCGGGGCAGTGTGTATCCCGGGGCAGTGTATATCCCGGGGCAGTGTATATCCCGGGGCAGTGTGTATCCCGGGGCAGTGTATATCCCGGGGCAGTGTGTATCCCGGGGCAGTGTATATCCCGGGGCAGTGTATATCCCGGGGCAGTGTGTATCCCGGGGCAGTGTATCCCGGGGCAGTGTGTATCCCGGGGCAGTGTATCCCGGGGCAGTGTGTATCCCGGGGCAGTGTATATCCCGGGGCAGTGTATATCCCGGGGCAGTGTATATCCCGGGGCAGTGTATCCCGGGGCAGTGTGTATCCCGGGGCAGTGTATCCCGGGCCAGTGTATCCCGGGCCAGTGTATCCCGGGCCAGTGTGTATCCCGGGCCAGTGTATATCCCGGGGCAGTGTATATCCCGGGGCAGTGTGTATCCTGGGGCAGTGTGTATCCCGGGGCAGTGTATATCCCGGGGCAGTATATCCCGGGGCAGTGTGTATCCCGGGGCAGTGTATGTCCCGGGGCAGTGTATATCCCAGGGCAGTGTGTATCCCGGGGCAGTGTGTATCCCGGGGCAGTGTATATCCCGGGGCAGTGTGTATCCCGGGGCAGTGTGTATCCCGGGGCAGTGTGTATCCCGGGGCAGTGTATCCCAGGGCAGTGTATCCCGGGGCAGTGTATATCCCGGGGCAGTGTATCCCAGGGCAGTGTACATCCCGGGGCAGTGTGTATCCCGGGGCAGTGTGTATCCCGGGGCAGTGTATCCCAGGGCAGTGTACATCCCGGGGCAGTGTACATCCCGGGGCAGTGTATATCCCGGGGCAGTGTATATCCCGGGGCAGTGTACATCCCGGGGCAGTGTACATCCCGGGGCAGTGTACATCCCGGGGCAGTGTACATCCCGGGGCAGTGTGTATCCCGGGGCAGTGTGTATCCCGGGGCAGTGTGTATCCCGGGGCAGTGTGTATCCCGGGGCAGTGTATCCCGGGGCAGTGTATATCCCGGGGCAGTGTATCCCGGGGCAGTGTATATCCCGGGGCAGTGTATCCCGGGGCAGTGTATAGCTGGGGCAGTGTATCCCGGGGCAGTGTATATCCCGGGGCAGTGTATCCCAGGGCAGTGTATATCCCAGGGCAGTGTATCCCAGGGCAGTGTATCCCGGGGCAGTGTATATCCCGGGGCAGTGTATATCCCGGGGCAGTGTATCCCGGGGCAGTGTATATCCCGGGGCAGTGTATCCCGGGGCAGTGTATCCCGGGGCAGTGTATAGCTGGGGCAGTGTACATCCCAGGGCAGTGTATATCCCGGGGCAGTGTGTATCCCGGGGCAGTGTATCCCAGGGCAGTGTATCCCAGGGCAGTGTATATCCTGGGGCAGTGTATCCCAGGGCAGTGTATCCCGGGGCAGTGTATATCCCGGGGCAGTGTGTATCCCAGGGCAGTGTATATCCCGGGGCAGTGTATCCCAGGGCAGTGTATAGCCGGGGCAGTGTATAGCCGGGGCAGTGTATCCCGGGGCAGTGTATATCCCGGGGCAGTGTATATCCCGGGGCAGTGTATCCCGGGGCAGTGTATCCCGGGGCAGTGTATAGCCGGGGCAGTGTATCCCGGGGCAGTGTATATCCCGGGGCAGTGTATCCCGGGGCAGTGTATCCCGGGGCAGTGTATCCCGGGGCAGTGTATGGAGGCGTGGGGTGCAGTGCAGTGTTACAGCCGCTTCGGCTGATGGTCCTACATTTCTGTCTGTGCAGCCAACGAGAACCATTGGGCGACGGTGTGTCGGGGACAGACGGGGAAGTCCCTGAGGGAATGTGACAAATGTGGGAACGGCCATTATGGAGCCAGAAGGTAACTCTACACGTGGCACCAAACGTGAGCCGTGTAACCGCGAATCCTCATGAGCTGAACTGGCTCCAAAGTGACGTGTTTGGCAATGGGAGGTCAGGATCGAAACCCCTTCCCCCCCCCACAATCTCCCCTCTCTGTGCCGCTCTCTAGTCCCCGGTTCCTGAGCCGGGAGGGGCCGCAGGGTCCCAGGGCACCCACTGCTGATGGCGGCCCGGCCCGGCCCGGCTCATCGGGAGGACCTGGAAGGGCCGACCAGTCACTGGGGGTCAGGGAATCCTCCCCCTCAGCTCCTGTTACCCCCACAGCCAAAGCCCCAACTAACTAACGGGGAGGGGGGTCCTCGCTGGACAAGCAGCGGGAAAGCTCGGCCACACAGCGCTCTCTCTCTCTCTCGATGGCTGAGCTGTGTGTGGGTTTAGCCGGTTAGACCCCAACAGTTACCCCCCAACACACACTGTATATCCTGAAGCTGGTCACCCCCAACCTTCCCAGCTTCACTGGCTCCCCATTCCTCACTTGTCCTCACCTTTAAAGCCCTCCACATTCTCCCTCCTCCCTCCCTCTGTGACCATCTTAAACCATTTCAACCCCTCCTTTCCCTCTGCTCATGAGGCTCCGGTCTGCTCCAGGTTCCCCCCAACCATCAGCGGTCAGGCCTTCAGCTTCTCTGCGCCCAACCTCTGGAACTCCCTCCACCTCTCCCCCTCCCTCGCCTCCTTCAAGTCCATCTCAAGACCCTCCTCTTCGACCGTAGCTTCAGCCACTCCTACCCCCACCTTCCCTGCCCTCCACCCCCTCCTGATCCCAACCCCCAGTTGGGGTCCAAATCCCTGACTGTCCAGCGCCTTGGGACGTCCTCCTGACATGAAGGGGCTCCATGTAAATGTAATGTGTTGTTGTTGTTGTTGTTGTGGGGGTGTTGGTACGAGCTGAGCTGAGAGCTGTATGGCTCCTGTTAGGCGAGCAGACTCCGCCATGACCCTTCTTTCCCCCAACAGTCAGGAAGGCCTGGGGGGAAGTAGTCCGGCTTGGCCAGACGTCTCCTCTCTCTCTCTCTCTCTCTGTCGCTCTCTGGATCACTGACGGGCAGTTTGGGATTGTGAAATTGTTTTACTGGTGGACATTGCAACAAAGAAGTGATCCCAAACACTGTCATCATCATAATAGTCCTTGACCTCTCAAAGCGCTTCACAGGATACACTGTGAAGTGGAGTGACTGTGTGTTTAGTTGGCGCCACCTGAAGACGGGGGAGGAAGGAGGCGAGGCGGGGGGATTGGGAGAAAGAGCGGCAGAGTTTCAGGAGCAGGAGTTGGAGATGGAAATGAGGAAGGATAACAGTTCAAACCGAGCGAGAGAGGAGACAGAGAGTCAGAGAGAGAGCGAGAGAGGAAGTGGCATTGAAGTGAAAGTGCTGAGCTGGTTTGTGAGGGAGAGAAACTGATCAGTGAGGGGACACCGAGCGGAGGGTGAACAGAGCCTGAGGGAGCCCAGGGCCTGACATCACCGCGATGAACCTGAGACTCACCTCACAGCGTAAACGTCTGCCCATAACACGGTCTCAGCCGCCGCCTCCTTCAACCCGGAGGCACAGAGCAATGCTCATCTCACTGTTCATTCATCTCAGCTTCTCAACAGTCCATGGTACGTACAGCGCTACATGTCAATACGGTATCCGTCTGTGTCTGTCTCTAACCCTGACCTGGGAGTGTGGACACACAGTGGCTGCTTTACAACAACAAAATTACATTTATAGAGCGCCTTTCACGTCGGGAGGATGTCCCAAAGAGCTGAACAGTCAGGTGTTGGGGCCCGAGCATCGGGGAGGGGTGGTGTAGGGGTGAGGGAAGGCAGAGAGGTGGGAGGGAGACCAAAGGCTCGGTCGAAGAGAAGGGAGGAAGGGAGAAACCGAGGCCAAGGGACTGTGGGATGGAGTTCCAGAGTGTGGGGGCAGAGAGGGTGAAAGCTCGGTCACCGATGGTGGGGGGGGGGGGTTGGGTGGGTGACATGGAGCAGCCGGAGCCCGCTGGACGGAGGGAGCGGGCAGGTTGGTAGGGAGTCAGCAGGTCAGAGAGGTAGGAGGGGGCGAGGCCATGGATGGCCTTGAGGGTGAGGACGAGGATCTTGAACTCACAGCGTAGAGGAGCTTTACTGTGTCTGTAACCCTGACCTGGGAGTGTGGACGCACAGTGTAGAGGAGCTTTACTGTGTCTAACGCTGACCTCTGTCTCTGTGCAGGAGGGGTGATGGATGGACGAATTGTTCAGTCCCCGTCGCTCACGGTTGGTGCCGGAGGCTCCGTGTTGTTACAATGCAACTTCGTGACACCCGGGAAAGTTCCGGAAGTGGTGGCGTTCCAGTGGGACCTGCCGGGGGGTGGGGCTGTGCTCCGAGTGGTCCCGGGGAGCGGGGGGGAGGGGGGGTTGCCGGGGCGGATGACCCTCCATGCTGACCTGAGTTTGAGGAGCAGCGCGTTAGAGATTCACAACGTGACGCTGGGCGATGATGGGCTTTATCGGTGTCTCGTCGAAATCCTCGAGCCTCTCCCGATCGTTCGTCTCTGGGGAACAGGCACTGAGCTCAGCGTCCAACAGCATTCCCTCTCACACCCCCCCAGCCCCCAGCTCAGCCAGACAGCAGGTAACAACAACAACAACAACAACAACACAGTCCCTTCACGTGGGGTAGTGTCCCGGAGCGCTGGACAGTAGAGGTGTCTGACCCTGAGCCGGGGGAGCAGGGGGTGGGGGAGAGGTGACCATAAGCACCATCAAATAGGAAGGTCTTTCGGCAGGACTTGAAGGTGGGGAGGGTGGTGGGGGGGGGGGGGGCGAGGCGGAGGGGTTGAGGGAGAGAGTGACAGAGTTTCGGGGCGCAGTGCCTGAAGGCACGGCCACTGATGGTGGAGTGGAGGGGACGAGGGACAAACAAGAGGCCGGAGACAGCAGGTGGGGGAGTGTGGGGTGAGCAGGTGGGGGAGTGTGGGGTGAGCAGGTGGGGGAGAGTGGGGTGAGCAGGTGGGGGAGTGTGGGGTGAGCATGTGGGGGAGTGGGGTGAGCAGGTGGGGGAGTGTGGGGTGAGCAGGTGGGGGAGTGGGGTGAGCAGGTGGGGGAGTGTGGGGTGAGCAGGTGGGGGAGTGGGGTGAGCAGGTGGGGGAGTGGGGTGAGCAGGTGGGGGAGTGTGGGGTGAGCAGGTGGGGGAGTGTGGGGTGAGCAGGTGGGGGAGTGTGGGGTGAGCAGGTGGGGGAGTGTGGGGTGAGCAGGTGGGGGAGTGTGGGGTCAGCAGGTTGGAGGGGTAGCGAGGGGTGAGGGCGTGAGGTAATATTCCCTCACACACACACACCCCAACTCACCTGCCCACAGGTCACACTCCCTCACACCCTCTGTCCCTCTACACTGTCCGTCCGTCCACACTCCCGGGTCAGGGTTAGAGACACAGTAAAGCTCCTCTGCGCTGTGCGTCCGTCCACACTCCGTGGTGAGGCTGTTGACCAGATGTGTGGAGTCTCTCAGAGTCTGTGTCTGCACCACGAGCTGTGTAATCACTGAGTGAGTGAGTGTGTGAGTGAGTGAGTGAGTGAGTGAGTGAGTGAGTGAGTGAGTGAGTGAGTGAGTGAGGGGCTTCAGGGGTGATTTGATATGAACGTTGCTGTGTTGTTGTAAGGGGTTCCTGTTGATAGTGGAGTCCTGTAGCTCAGCGGTTAGAACCCTCGATTGGGAAGTAAGAGAACTTATGTTCGATTCCCGGGCGGGTTAGGGTCAAACCCCCCCCCCCCCACACACACACACACAGACACACACACACACACAGACACACACACACACACAGACACACACACAGAGACCCACACACAGACACTCCTCTGGTTACCGGCAGTGAGGAGGAACCGCTTGTTGGTCGATTGGTGGATCGCTTTCCAAAAAATGAATAGTCCCTCAAAAAAATGTTTTAATAAATAATTTGGTCACTCAATCCACGACTGTTTGTGGGGACGTCGCTGGGCACAATGGGCTGCCGCGTTTCACCCACAAAATACACAGTCACTACACTTTACAGTGTAGCCCATGGGACGCCTCGACGACGTGATCAGGCGCCGGGTCAAACGCGAGGATTATCATTAGTGTTACGGATGGGGAGGGTCCGGAGGGGAAGTCTCTGCACTGACGGGGTATTTAATGAGTGTTGATTACAGGGGACGAGGGTCACTCTGGGTTGGTGGCAGCACAGACAGAGAGTTGGCAGACATACACCCTTTACACTGTGGTCGGTGTCCTGCTCCTCATCGGCCTGGCATTCTCCGTCAGCATCAGACAATGTGGGTTCAACTGTAACTTGCGCAAAGGTAAGAGACAAAACACACTGACACAGCAACAAATAGTCAGCCCGGCCGTGTGTGTGTGTGTGTGTCAACGCGGCTCAGCATTTGTGTCTCGACCCCCAATTATCCCTCCCTTCCTCCCCCATATCCAGGCCCTCACCAGCACCGCCTTCTTCCACCTCCGACGCATCGCCCGTCTCTGCCAATACCTCACTCTAAAAGCCCCTGAAACCCCGGTTCATGACTTTGTCACCTCTCTGATGGACTCTTCAAAGGCCCTCCTCGCCAGACTCCCCTCCACGACCATCCATAACATCCAAGTCATCCAAAACTCATTCTTACCCGCACCAAACTCCGCTCCCCGATCACTCCAGTCTTTGCCCGACTGCACTGACTGCCTGTCCCAGAGAGGATCCACTTCAAGATCCTCACCTTGTCTTCAAATCCCTCCACTCCTCTGCACCCCCCGACCTCTCTCCTCACAACAGTGCCCATTGCCTTCGTTCCCCCGGGTCTGGCCTCCTCCTTGTCCCCCGAGTCCTCTGCTCCACCCTCGGCGGCCGTGCCTTCAGCCACTGCGCCCCGAGGCTCTGGAACTCCCTTTCTCACTCCCTTCGCCTCGCCCCCTCTCTTCCTATTTTCAGGTCTCTGCTGAAGACTTTCTCTTCGACCGCACATTTGGTCATCTTCCTCCCCACCCCCCACCCCCTCCCCCCTCCCCGGCCTCTCCCCATCCCCCTGGCTCGACCCCTCCCCCTCCCCCTCCCCCCCCTCAGCCTGGCTCCTCCCCACCCCCTGGCTCCTCCCCCCTGGCTCCTCCTCCCCTGGCTCCTCCCCTCCCCCTGACTCCTCCCCCTCCCCTGGCTCCTCCCCTTCCCACTGGCTCCTCCCCTCCCCTGACTCCTCCCCCTCCCCCTGGTTCGGCCCCGGGATCCGTTACTTTAAAGCTCTGAGACACCGTCCGGCGTGGGGGGCGCTATATAAATCCAAATAGTTGTTGTTGTTGTTGTGTGTGAGGCTGTGTGTGTGAATCCCGATACATGTGTCCCTCACGTAATAGCTGTTGATGGGATGTGAAGCTGATTGTGCTCCTGTGAACACAATGTGAGTATGAGTTTGAGTGTGTGAGAGGGAGAGTGTGTGAGTGTGTGAGGGAGGGAGAGTGTGTGTGAGAGGGAGAGTGTGTGAGTGTGTGAGGGAGGGAGAGTGTGTGTGAGAGGGAGAGTGTGTGCGTGAGGGAGAGTGTGATTGTGCACGTGAGTGTGTGTGTAGTGTGAGAAGGTCTCATTGTGTAATTCTTTTGCTGCTGTTTTGCAGACTCCCAGGAAGATTCAGCTCCCTGAGCACTGACACACACTCACACACACTCTCACACTCACTGACACACTTATACTCACACACAATCTCTCACACTCACACTGACACACGCTCACATAGAACGCAGACACACACAGACACATATTCACACACGCTGTGACGGTTCTCACCCATTAGGTGAGAACATTCCCCGGCTTCTTTATAAGGGAAACCTCATGTATTTTCAAGGACTTCATCCCATTCACTCTATGGGCTCCGGTTATGGATTTATCAGATCCAAAACTCACTCGTACTAACAGTTCCATTGCTTTCTTTTTGGTCACTCACCGTCTGACACACACGGAAACCCGTCACCGTGACCGGTCGGGTGTCTGACACACACGGAAACCCGTCACCGTGACCGGTCGGGTGTCCGACACATACGGAAACCTGTCACCGTGACCGATCGGGTGTCCGACACACACAGAAACCCGTCACCGTGACCGTCGGGTGTCTGACACACACGAAACCCGTCACCGTTGCTTAAGAGTCTCCAAACCCGACTGAGAATTCCCCACATCGCCCCCACACCCGGAAACCCCAGAGAGAGATCGTTGGGATGGAATGCGCTCTCTCTCTCTCCCTCTCCCCCTGGAGGGACGCCCTCTGCTTACCTAATTCCGGAGAGTATTAGGCGCAGGTTGGCGAGTGCCAAGGCTTTGGGGGGAGCCCAGAGTGTGTGTTGGGGGGTAACTGCTGGGGTCTAACCGGCTAAACCCACACACAGCTCAGAGAGAGAGAGCGAGCGCTGTGTGGCCGAGCTTTCCCGCTGCTTGTCCAGCGAGGACCCCCCTCCCCGTTAGTTAGTTGGGGCTTTGGCTGTGGGGTTAACAGGAGCTGAGGGGGAGGATTCTCTGCCCCCAGTGACTGGTCGGCCCTTCCAGGTCCTCCCGATGAGCCGGGCCGGGCCGCCATCAGCAGTGAGTGCCCTGGGACCCTGCGGCCCCTCCCGGCTCAGGAACCGGGGACTAGAGACCGACAGAGAGGGGGGGGGGGGGGCTTGATTCTGACCTCCAGTTGTCAATCATATCACCTGGGGGCCAGTTCAGCTCCGAGGAGAGGACTATTGCTATGGCTTATACCCTAACCCCTCGTTAACAGAAACTCGAGTACTTCTTCATTTAGGTTGTTGTTGTTGTTGCAAGTTTTTGTGTGTGAGTGTGTGTTGTTTTATTCTGCGCTGATTACGCTAATCTGTGTACAGTAAACGCTACATTAAAAGTGCAACTCTGAACACTCTGAGGGCGTCTGATTTACCATTTCTTATGGTTAGGAGCAGCGCTGACAGTGCGACTTAGTCAAGAAAATCAACTCCTGAAGCTGAGAAATAATAATAATAAGAATGATAATTCTTGCATTTGACCCGGTGCCTCATCACGTAGCTTAGATGTCTCAAAGCGCTTCACAGGATACACTGTAAAATGAAGTGACTGTGTGTTTTGTGGGTGAAACAGGGCAGTCAATTGCGCCCAGTGACGATCCCACAAACACGCACTGCCTGCACTCGACTGGCTCCTGTTTGACCCTCGTCCCCTCCGCTACACCACGAGTGGCCGACAATCCCCCGGATAAAACCACTCGCTCGCTTCACGGCTACTTGCGAGGACGTCGCTGTGCGCAAATTGGCTGCCGTGGATCACAATACAGTCACTACACTCATCCCGTGAGGAGCTTTGAGATGGCTTCCTGACATGAAAGGTGTTATTAATAACAGCAATATTAATAATTATAATAATCCTGGCATTTGACCCGGCGTCTGATCACGTCTTCGAGACGTCTCAAAGCGCTTCAAAGAATATACTGTGAAGTGTAGTGACCGTGTATTTCTGTGGGCGAAACGTGGCAGTCAATTGCGCACAGCTGCCCAGTTTCGCCCCGAAGCGCTTTGAGACGTCTCGACAACGTGATAAGGCGCTGTGTCAAATGCCAGGATTATTATTATTATTAGTATTATTATTATTATTATTATTTTTGGTCCAATCTCTGTGCTCAAAGCAGAGGTGAAGGCAGTGAGATTCTGACCACAAGACGGCTGCAGTGAGTCACAGATGCCCTCTGGTGGCGGGTGTGGGTATAACACCCCCCCCTTTGCATGTGACACAGGGCCTTTATTGTCGCCACAAAGCGCTTCCCAGGATAATTGTGTGGTGGTACAAAAGTGTAGTGACTGTGTATTTTGCGGGTGAAACGCGGCAGCCAATGTGCGCACCGCGACGTCCCGCGAACCCACACAAAATAAATTCCCCCTCAAAAAATGTAGTCGCTCAAACCACGATTGTTTGCAAATTGGCCGCCGTGTTTTGTCTACAAAATATACTAAAGTTAATTCACTTCACGGTATATTCTGTGAAGCACTTTGCAATGTTTCGAAGACTCGATAAGGCGCTGTATCAAATGCAAGGATTATTATTATTATTACAGAGGAAGCAACCGATTTGATTCGGGGGATTGTCAGTCAGAGAAAGAGAGAGAGAGGGAACTCCCTTCTCTGTTCGAACAGCGCTGAGGGAGATCTTTGACGTCCACCTGAACAGCAGACGGGGAGTGGGAGAGGTTTAACGTCTCACCCGGAGGGCGGCGTCTCCGACACTGTGACCCCCCCCCGGGCTGCACTGGAGCATCGGCTCAGACTGTGTGATGCCAAGGGGTAACTGCTGGGGGTCTAACCGGCTAAACCCACACACAGCTCGGCCATCGAGAGAGAGAGAGAGCGCTGTGTGGCCGAGCTTTCCCGCTGCTTGTCCAGCGAGGACCCCCTCCCCGTTAGTTAGTTAGTTGGGGCTTTGGCTGTGGGGGTAACAGGAGCTGAGGGGGAGCCCCTCCCGGCTCAGGATCCAAGACTAGAGACCTTCACAGAGAGGGGGGGCTCGATTCTGACCTCCCGTCAACTTGCAGCCAGTTCAGCTCTGAGGAGACCCCACATAATATAATACATACTGTATACACTGCAAATATTTATAGGCGTATGTACACAGTCACTTCACTTTACAGTATATCCTGGGAAGCGCTTTGAGACGTCTCAGTGACGTGATGAGGGGCTTTATCGAGCGCAAGGTTTATTTAGTTTAGGGAGTGGGGAGTGACAGAGTTTCGAGCGTAGCGGCCAAAACTGGGGGCGCAGATGGTGGAACAGAGGGCACGAGGGTACGGGCAGGGGGTGGAGCCTGTTGAGCGGGTAGTGAGCAGGTTGGAGAGCTGCCAGGCTCGGACGAGCGAAAGGAGCTTGAAATCACTCCGTTCTGACACAGGAAACCAGATACACAACATCAAAGGTCTGATCCTGGTACAGTCAATAACACTCTCCCCACATCACCGCGGCCCAGCACTGAGGGGAGAGGGAGAGAGAGAGCGAGAGAGAGAGAGAGAGAGAGAGAGAGAGAGACGCATTGTCAGAGGCACCGTCCTTCGGATGAGAGGTGAGGGCTCGAACCCACAACCTTCTGACTCAGAGGCGAGAGAGAGAGAGAGACAGGGAGAGAGACAGAGAGAGCGCTACCACTGACACACACACTGAGCCTGGCACACAAATTGCTTTGAAGTGTAGTGACTGTGTGTTTGCATTTGCCGTGCCATTTGTCTGGGGTCAGTGTCGGCCAAGACACTGGTCATCCAATCCACGACTGCAAGTGGGACACTGCTGTGTGCAATTGGCTGCCAACAGCACAGCATCAAATGGTGAGGGACGTTCGGAGTCAATTTGGAGAAATGATTTCCACTGGTGGGTGAGTCAGTGGCCGGAAGAGAAGTTCAGAGAAATTATTTTATTCAGGGAAAAGACGGATTTTGCTCCGTGATAAATGCTAATTGGAGTGGGCTGAGACCATTGCTGTGACAGATATAACAATAATAATTCTTGCATTTGATACAGCGCCTTGTGGAGTCCTGTAGCTCAGTGGTTAGAGCACTCGCTTTGCAAGTGAGAGACCTGAGTTCAATTCCCGGCAGAGGGCGAAACCTCAGGCAAGTTTCCTTACTACACACAGAGCCTAATAATAATCCCTCCAAAACCAAAAACAATAAATCAAATGTGGGACATTTTCAATTCGTCGAAAATACATATTACTTACAGTGTTTGTGGCGCTTTTGTGGCGTTTTCTTTTTTTTTTTTTTTTTTTTTTATTTTATATTATAATTGCTGAGACGTTCAAACCACAAAACTAATTAGTCTAAGTAAAAAAAAGATTGTATTTGTAGTCTATATTGCGACAGCAGTGAAGGGGGGGGGGGGGGAGGGAGGGGGAGAGGAGGGGAGAGACCTGAGTTCAATCAGCAGGCGAAACTGGCAAGTTCCTACAACAGAGTAATAATAAAAAAAAAACAATAATAAATTGGTCATTTTCAATCCGCGACTGTTTGTGGGACATTGCTGAGCGCAATTGGCTGCCGCGTTCGCCCACAAATATACAGTCAATTCACTTTACAGTCTGTTCTGTGAAGCGCTTTGGGACGTCCTCCCGACGTGAAAAACGCTATATCAAATGCAAAGATTATTATTATTTATTATTTTATTAACTTGTCCTCCCCAAATGATCTACTTCTCTCTTAAAAGTTGTTATGGAATTGGCTTCCACCAGCCTTTTCGGCAATGCATTGCAGTGGATCGTGACGGTGCCGGTCTTATCCTCTCATTGTTCTTATTTAACACTCACTGTCGTTCACTTCAGCCCGGCCCGGCTCATCGGCAGGACCTGGAAGGGCCGACCAGTCACTGGGGGCAGGGAATCCTCCCCCTCAGCTCCTGGTAACCCCCCAGCCAAAGCACTAACAAACTAACTAACTAACTAACTAGGTAGCTAGCTAGCTAGCTTGGTCAGACAGCGCTCTCTCTCTCTGTCTCTCGATGGCCGAGCTGTGTGTGGGTTTAGCTGGTTATACCCCAGCAGTTACCACCCAACACACTCTCTGGGCTCCCCCCAAAGCCTTGGCTCTCGCCAACCTGCGCCAAAACCATCCTGGATATAGGTAAGCATGGGGCGTCCCTCTAAGGAGCGAGAGAGAGAGAGAGAGATTGCATATTCCATTTCAAACATAGGGAAT